ATATAATCAGCACATTCTTCCTCCATTGCCTGCTACAGTTGAACGCCAGTATTAGTATTGGCAAGGGGAGGGGGAATCAGAGGGACTGGCCCTGGTCACTCCCATACATTTGACTGACTATGGCCCCTTGGGGCTATGGAATGATAGCAGAGTGGGGGAGGGTGTGTGTTTGTGGTTTTTTTCCAAAACCCTTTTGTTAACAGAACCTGACTTTTTCACCTAAACAAAAATTTTCACAGAAAATTTTCATTACTCTTTTTTTGGTGTGTCTGTGTGGAGGTGAATATTTACCAAAATAATGAAGCTTCCAGTTTCAATTCTCTGCTGGAATTTTTTTCACCACAAGAAATTTAGGGAAAAACAAAATTCCTTCAAGAAATGGTTGGTGTGTTTTCAACTAGTGACCTAGCCAGCCTTCTTATAGCTCTGAAGGAGTGCTAGTGACAGCATACTACCTGCTCCTGTGTAGAGAGCCTGTATAAATACTAAGCATTATTATTTGCTTAGTTTTCATGTCATGTTTGTAAAGTACTTATAAAGCTAAAAAATTGGCATTGTTGCTTTGTTATACAGACAGCACAATTATATTGTCTTTGCATTCAACTTGGAGGGGAAAATGGCGTAGTGCTACCTAAAATAGGAAGAAAAAAGACAGTGTGGTATTTCTCTCTTCATGAGAGTAATGAAAGAATAAATGTGGACTCCATTCATTTGACATTTTCACCATGACCTATGTATGTCAAATAGTTGCTTCAAAGCTGTAAACCAGTGTCTCAATGGTAACTACTGTGACTGTAATATCTCTGCAGAAGTTACTTACGTGATAAACTATAGACAACAAGTTCTAGTATCACATGCTGGAGATTTTATGCAAAGCCCATGTTATGTGGTAACGCTTCCAGTCAAACTAAAGGGAGTACATACATTGCAAAAGGTGGCATAGAATAAAAGCTGAGATTTGAAAGAGAGAGCAACAGATCAACATTTCATGTCAACAGCCTAGACAACACATGACCAGACACAGGAGAGTTGCTGTATGAGAGTTCATTGATACTGAAACATATGGAAGGTTGAGTCTGCCATAATCGTACTAGTGCCAGAATTTTGCTGATCATTGGACAGTTTTAGATAAACGTTATAAAGCAAAGAGAATACAGCTGTTAAGCCTCACCTTTTTACCTTGGCTAGGGAACTCTCTGAGAGAGCAGATGGTCCTGAGTTTCAAGCCATGAATCATTGTCATGGACTCTCTTCAAGCTGTCTTATAGTACGTGGAGTTGAGAAACCCCAGAAGGTAACATTTTCATTACTATCTCTGTCACTCTGATAGAGCACTCTTGCAGCTGAAATGATCTTTATTACTACCATGCTAAGGCTCTAGAAATGAATAGAAAGATTCAACTAATCACTGTGGGCTTGTCTTCATTATTGCTCTACATAGGCACAGTGTGAAGACACACAGTGTAGACACCGCTTTAAGTTGATGTAATTTACGTTGCTCAGGGAGGGTGGTTTTTTACACCCCAAGCGACATAAGTTACATTGATTTAAGCAGTAGTGTAGACAAGCCCTATGATTCAGTATCTGATAGAGATTTCAAGGTTTTCACTTTACCACTCTTCTTGCTGCTCTGGAGTGATGGAGGAGGAGGAGGAGAAGAAACTATATCTGTTTCATTGCATTTATGCAAACTCATTAACAAAGAGAGAGATGTCCACATTTTGTGTATGCTGAGGAGATGAAGTGATGCAATGTGCAACATGATAGCTACAGGTATATTTCAAATAGGCTATCCCCATTTTTGACATCCTCATCTACACATACCTGAGGAAGTACCCCAACTTGTGGATACTAGCCCAAGCTTTCCAAGACTACAGAAATGGGCTAATGGAGCTTGAGGAGAAGGAAATTGAGAAAGGAAGGACAAACACCAAGGAGAATGGAAGCCCCTAGATCCAAATCATGGAAATCAACTGAAGAGATGATTGTGCTCAGAGTTAAGAAGGAGAAAAACAGGGAATTCAGGGGATCAGTCAAATTGGGAGAAACGGGAAAATATCTGACTGGGCTGCGCAGTATTGAGATTCCCTTCAAGACCTTTTCCACTCAGCTTATCAAGAACACCTTCTTCAGTTCTGGGAGAACACTTCATCCAGTTCTCTGGATGAAAGCTCAGTTCAACTCTAGATTTCATCACCCATGTTTCTTTATGTTGCATACAGCAAAGCTACACTGAGTTGACCAGACTCAAGTATACGGGGTGGGTATAAGATAGACCACACATCCAATGTTACACAGAAACCTTCTCCCTTCATATACATTTACACATCTCATTGCATTTGTTATACATTATATCACACATTTTTGGGTTTGCTTGATTACTTTGCAGGAACCAATCCCTGTGCAGCATGCTTTGTCCAGGCATTTTTCATGCTCGACCTCCTCTGTACATTCCTAATTTATCTTGTTCATTGTTAGCAAATAATTCCCTGGATGTTCTCCCTCTTATCTTAGCTTGTTCAGACATTCTGTCTTTTTAGCCTATTGACCTATTTACTTTAGCCAAATGATTAAGGCTACGATTTAGTCACAGAGGTCGCGGAAGTCATGGAATCTGTGACTTCCAGAGACCTCTGTGTTTTCAGCCTGCAGTGGTTGGAAGCTGTAGGGTCCCCTGCCTCCAGTGGGGGCAGGGAGCTGTAGGGTCCCCTGGCACCTCTGGTGGCCCCCCGGAGCTCCCAGGCACTATGGGTGGTGGGGGAACCCCCAAGACCCTGGCCACTGCAGGTGGTGAGGGGATCCCCAAATCCCTGCTGGCAGAGGGCTGCCAGTGGGAGAACCCCCCGGCCGCCGGCAGCAGCGGAAGAACACCCCAGCCCCCAGCCACTGGCGGCAGTGGAGGAATCTCCAAATCCCCGGGAGAGGACCCCCTGTGGGGGAACCCTAGGTCTGAGCCCTGGCTGCCACCGGCGATGGCGGGAGAATCCCCGAGCCCCCGGCCGACCGCTGCAGGTGGAGGGGGAATCCCCTGGCAGAGAACCCCCGAGTCCCCGGCCCCCGGCTGCTGTGGGGGCCCCCGGCTGCTGTGGGAGCCCTCGGCTGTCGTGGGTGGCAGGGGATTCCATGAGCCCCTGGCAGAGGACCCCTGGCGAGGGAAGCCCTCCAGTGGCGGCTGTGGTGGGGGAACCCAGTGGTGGCAGTGCGGGAATCCCCGAGGCCTTGGTCAACGGTGGCAGGAGAACCCCCGAGCCTCCGGCTGCCATGGGAATCCCACAACTCCTGGCTCCCATGGGCAGCGGGGGCCCCTGGAGTGGCAGGGGTACCCCGCAGGCCCCAGCTGCTGCAGGCGTCTCCTAGCCCCATGCACACCTGCCCCACTTCAGGCAATGTGGGGACCCGCAGATCCCCATTTTGTCAGGTATATTTTTAGTAAAAGTCACAGACAGGTCACAGTTTCTGTGAATTTTTCTTTTTTGCCTGTGACCTGTCCCTGACTTTTACTAAAAATATTCATGACAAAATCTTAGCCTTACTAATGATCTGTTTACCTCCCTAATTCTATCCTCTAAGAAATGAAGTCTCCCTTCATGTGTTAACTACTCATGTCTGGCCAGGCATCAGCTATAGGAGGAAGAAGAATGTAATTGCCAACTAATTAAAAATTGTTGGAAACATATAAATATGTGAATATCTGAGTGACCTGAAGAATCTTGAATATATTCAGAAATGTTTCCCTTTATGTAACCAACATAGGTTACAAAGCGATAGTTCCAATCCAACTTCATGAGCATTTCAGGACATTAACATAACTATCCTAGAGCAAATCCTGTTACCTTTCCCATAGGGCAGAGGAACTAGTGGATTCCACTGCATGGTGACTGGTGGGGGCAGATGTGAGCACTACAAGAAAATGCATGTCAGAGAACTCTGCTCTGTCAGGGCTCTATTCTTGCCATAGTGGGAGCATAGGGGTGTTTGGATGGTCTTGGTGAGAGTGCAGCCACTGGATCCATTACCGCCATGACATTCGTATAATCCACTAGGGAGTGCAGCCAGAAGCTATTGCAGTGGCAACTGAGGTGTCTGAGGGGGATTTTGGACCTTCCCCCACTTAAATCACTAGTCCACCTGCTGTGCCAAACCCATTTACTCAGACTTGATGCAGAGACCAGTCAATGCATTATATTGGCCATTATAAAGTTCTCTACTGGGCAATCTTCTAGGAGTGTTTGGGATACTGTGAATTGTTAAACTACCTAGCATCTATCTAGTTATGTCTTGATTTTATCTATTTATTTATTCTCATATGCATTTGAAATATGATTGCTTCATTCATCTTTCTAAGGATACTGGTCAGATTTTCTTTTGCTGTAATACACCTCCCTCCAGCTGCCTCATTTGCTACATCTCTTTAGGGATTAACCTACAGGAAGGACAGGCAAAAGTAGCACCCCCTGCCTGCCCTTGATATTTCTGCCTGGGGAGGTAATAACTACTGGGGTCTCAATTGCTGGAAGCGCTCTGTCCTCCCCTTCTAACCAGGCCAGTGCTGTCCACTTTTGGGGCTGTGCTAGGTGTCTGAGAGCATTTCCATTGGAGAGGAACTTATGGACAATTTGTGGCACTACAACCACCTTCTTGATGAACTTTCCTTTGCCATGGGACCTGTTCCTTAATTACCTCTAATGTAATCATTGGTGGAATCCAATTCTTGGACTTGCAGTTACCTGTCCCTATATTTTCAGTCAATGCATTATATTGGCCATAGAGCAAGCTAGATTTGATTAGTAGGGAATATTTGTGTGTTCTTTTTCCTCTTATGGTTACAGAGTATGATTTGAATTAACTTTTTCTTTCTTCTTATAAACTCCACTGAAGAAATCAGGGGGGAAAAAAACATACGTTGGTTCATTTAACACTATAACCTAATGGATCAGATCAAAAAATCTCCAGGCTGTTCTGAGATATGAGAAAGCCAAACTTTGATTTCATTTCTCCACAGAGTTGTGAGATGTGACATGGAAAAGTGCTAAGAAGAATTGAGCTGTATAGTGTGAGCCCTGACAGAAAACATGAAGCATATGAAGCTGAAAAAGAAAAGGCCAAGTACCCAAGTGGTTGGTATTCAGGCTACTTTCTCGAGTTTGTTGTGTGCAGCAATATGGCACTCTGTCTATATCATGGGTGTCTTACAGCCTGTAGTACAGTAGATGAAAATTGCAGTTTAAGATGATACATCTGAACATTTTGCTAATAATCCACTATATCTAACACTGGTCTCTCTACCGTAGTTATTGTGGTACAGACTGCATGGCATGGCAGGTCCCGGTTAGATGGGGGAACATGTTAGAAAGCAGCAAGTGAAAAAAAGCGTGGACTCAACTGTAAGTTGAAAAATACCATCAAATACATGGGAAATCCTTTGCCTTCTTAACAAGAGGTTATATATTAATTTAGTTTAATTGTGTTTTATTCATGTAAATGTGCCCAAAGGTCTAGGCATCAGGTGCATGATTTTACAAACTGAATTATAAACAAACTTGCTATTATTACATTACTACTTTAAATGGAAGGTATTTTTCTTTTCTAGGCTGGTGAAAAGAATTATTACAAAAAACAAGTTTGCAAGTCAAGATCTCCATTGTTTCCAAGTAACAAAACTGTTTTCATATTAAGAAAAATTGTGAAGCATCTGTTATTATGGTACATACCGGTAAATTCTTTTGAGAAATGCATTTAATTTGCTAGCATCAAATATCTTTCCATTCTACTCCATATTTTAACAATGGCTGTTTGTAAAAGATTATACATGTGTAGACACATGCACATATTTAATCCTTCTAAAACACCCTCCTTTTCAGAAAACACTGTATAAACAATAAAAATTGTAACCTCATGACACTTTTGTGATGTGGATATTATCCCAATATTACAGATTGGTAAACTGAAGCACAAAGAGGTGAAATGACTAGACCAATTTTCTTCCCCATGTTATATGTTAGTATTCTATTAACTTTCTTACACCACGCCCATCACCTGATATGAGGGCAGCACAGTATCTCAGATCTGAACTACAAGGCACCAGAAACATGAAAGAAAAAGTCAAATGAACATTTCATACCCTTAAAAGAACAACCCTGTCTTTTGCTCTCAGATATTCAAATGGACAAAATTACATGAGTGAAGGCTTTATTTTTTACCAACCCAGTACACCCATTGCCTAGTATACATGTGACAGTTAGGGTCCAGACACCCCAGTGGGAGAACAGGGGATCTGAACCCAAAAGAGTATGCAATTGAATTAACTGTTTATATAAAAGGTAATTGTGTATAAAAATATGTTGAGTAAGGTCTTTTATGAAAGCCTGCAATGTTCTGAATTTGATGGTCATTATGATACATAGACTGTGGTTATAAATCTGTGCATATAAGTATACAGAATACTATGCTCATGACTATACATCTCACAGCAGGGAGGCACTTCTCCAAAGCCAAATGCTTACACAAAACCAGATGCAAGTAACAATCCATGGTACAACCCCCCCGAAGAGAAAAATGATGGACCATTACTGTTGGTGGGAAGACATTGGGACATCCCAACTGCCAAGTTGAGAGGCAATTTTCCCTAGCATGAATCACCATAGCCTGTGAGAAAGAAATATACAAAACAAACAAACCTGCAAACCTTTAAGAGAGTCATGGTTTGAAGTGAAGGTGATCCAGAAACTGAGGGGGAACCTTTAAGTAGGAAGATGCCCATGAAATGCTGGATCCCCTCTATGACAGTGGGCATGCTAGGAAACTGTTCAAAGATAGTAGATACTTGCATTAGAAAAAATAATTTATTCAATAGAGAAGTGTAAAATCTTGAAGTTGCCTCTTTGTTTGTTTTCTGTGCAACTTGTATATGTTTGCTTTTTCCTTTTCTTTCAGCTTGTGAATCTATGGTTTTCCTATTAAATGAATTTTTTGTTTATTTTTACCCCAAGCAAGTCTCTGTTGTGCAAATGCTGTGGAGCATGTGTCCCAAAGTGAACTAAGTACTGGAGATTGTTTTCACTCCTTTAGCAGTGATGAACCAGAGGGGAAAAGTCTGAACGCCTGGAGTTAAGAGCTGGGAAAAGATGGATTTGAGGAAATTCGGGACCACAAGGGCTGTTGGGGTCACCCTGTAAGGAGTAACTAGGCTGGTGGAAGCCAGGGTGAGACCTTTATGATTTTGGGCTGGCTACTGGTGTCAGGGCTTGGAGCCATAGCAGCAGAGCATTAAGGCATCGACAGTTACAAGGCATGGGGTGTTAGAACTCCGTGTTGATCTGGGTGATCCCTGAACCACCACACATGTAAGTTTTGTAAATTTTTCAAGAGAAAAATTTAACCCTGTACAGAGGATTAGGGCTTGGTCTAAGCACCACTGAAATCCATCACAAACTTTCAAAATAAGGTTAAGAGGTGCACAGCCCTTCTGCTAGCCTGCTGAATAGGAATGAATTTCACCCCCAATGAATACATGAACCTAGTCCAGGAGAAAGCAGCAAATCTTCTCACAATGGGAAACTAAAACAGTCACAGGAATTTTTTTGGCTGAATAAGGACTGAGTGAAATTTGAGAAAGGAATTCAGGAATTGGCCTGTAGTTGCTCTTGATTCATGGTGTGAAAGACATTTCGAACCTGGGAACAAATGACTTGATTCTGCTTTTACACTAGTGTAAACCAGGACTAACTCCATTTCAGGCAATGACAACCAGATCCAAAGAGCCTTGAACTGATGTAGCATAATCAGTCAGGTATAAAAGAGAAGGGGACAAAGATGGATAGCTGTACAGAGGGGTCCCTTAAATATTTTGATATATGTTCATCCTTTTAAAATATAATAATTTAGGAGATTTGTCACATAATTACTTAAATATAAGAGATGTGCTAACTATCTAAGGAAAAGGCTATCATGGGGCATGTAAATCTTTTTATGAAAAAGAAGGCAAACAAAATTTTGACCTAAGTCAAAGTTTATAAAATATTGACTTGGATTATACTCGTTGTGGGAGTAATTTTACTTGAATCCCTCATTAGAGATTCAATCTCTCTTTATATTAGATGATCAATCAGGCGATATCATTGAGTGGCAGGTGGGAATAAGGTCAAAACTGTAATATGCTTACCTTTGGACTCATTGAATAGCTGTTTTATAGCCCTTCAAATAGGACCACAGATCTTAATCATCGAATGATGGTCTGTCTAGACACAGCCACGCGGAAACCAGAGAACATGGTGCCCCAATGGACTCTTATGTAGATCCCACAGTACTAGTTAACTGTATCAAATTGTGTATATGTTTTTTTACTACTTTCTTCTTTCACAATGGATCAGATTTTTAAGTACTCAGTACCCACAGCTGAGACTAAATTTTCATAATTTCTTATACTATGTTCACTTGAAAATCTGGCCACTTATTTTGGTGGGAGTTGAGCTATTTCAAAAACCCCTTTGAGGGTGCTGAGCCCTACTGAAGATGCTAGCTATTGTGTTTCTTCCATGTCTGTCTTGTTACATTATATAAAATGTTTCATGATGAAATCTCATGCAGCAGCCCAATCCAGAAGGATAAACACCTCAGTTACTGGAACTATGAAACTTAATGACAAATGAAAAAGAGCCCTCATGTCACACAAGCATTGAGTCTTTTTAGTGATAAAAAGTTTTTCTCAACTAGCCCAAAATAACAGGCAAGGAAGCAGTGGCGTAGCCAGGTGGAGGGAACAGGGGGAGCAATAAAAAAAAAAAGGTGCCATCCGCTGTAGCGCTTTTACTCACCCGGCGGCGCTCTGAGTCTTCGGCAGCACTTCGGCGGCGGGCCCTTCACTAGCTCCGGGTGTCTTCGGCGGCACTGAAGGTCCCACCGCCGAAATGCCATCGAAGACCCGGAGTGAGTGAAGGTCCCGCCGCTGAAGTGCTGCCGAAGACCCGTTGTGAGTGAAGGTCCCACCGCCGAAATGCCACCGAAGACCCAGAGTGAGTGAAGGTCCCGCCGCCGAAGTGCCGCCGAAGACCCGGAGCGCCACCGGGTGAGTAAAATAGAAATGCCGCAGTGGGTGGCGCCTTTTTTTTTATCGCTCCCCCGGGAGAGTACAAAGGCGCCAGGAAATTGACAAGGTGCCACTTGTGCTCAGTGGGAAAGCAGCCGCTCCACCCCAGCTACACTACTGCAAGGAAGTCAGCAATGAAGTGGGGGGTTGAGAAAGGAAAACAATTGTTGTAGCAAATGCTTAAATATGACATTGTTGGCATCACTGAAACTTGGTGGGATAATACACATGATTGGAATGTTGGTGTGGATGGGTACAGCTTGCTCAGGAAGGATAGACAGGGGAAAAAGGGAGGAGGTGTTGCCTTATATATTAAAAATGTACACACTTGGACTGAGGTGGAGATGGACATAGGAGACGGAAGTGTTCAGAGTCTCTGGGTTAGGTTAAAAGGGGTAAAACACAAGGGTGATGTCATGCTAGGAGTCTACTACAGGCCACCTAACCAAGTGGAAGAGGTGGATGAGGTTTTTTTTAAACAACTAACAAAATCATCCAAAGCCCAAGATTTGGTGGTGATGGGGGACTTCAACTATCCAAATATATGTCGGGAAAATAACACAGCGGGGCACAGACTATCCAAGAAATTCTTGGACTGCATTGCAGACAACTTTTTATTTCGGAAGGTTGAAAAAGCTACTGGGGGGAAGTTGTTCTGGACTTGATTTTAGCAAATAGGGAGGAACTCATTGAGAATTTGAAAGTAGAAGGCAGCTTGGGTGAAAGTGATCATGAAATTATAGAGTTTGCAATTCTAAGGAAGGGTAGAAGGGAGAACAGCATAATAGAGACAATGGATTTCTGGAAGGCGGATTTTGGTAAGCTCAGAAAGCTGATAGGTAAGGTCCCATTGGAATCAAGACTAAGGGGAAAAACAACTGAGGAGAGTTGGCAGTTTTTCAAAGGGACACTATTAAGGGCCCAAAAGCAAGCTATTCCGCTGGTTAGGAAAGATAGAAAATGTGGCAAAAGACCACCTTGGCTTAACCACGAGATCTTGCATGATCTAAAAAATAAAAAGGAGTCATATAAAAAATGGAAACTAGGACAGATTATGAAGGATGAATATAGGCAAACAGCACAGGAATGCAGGGGCAAGATTAGAAAGGCAAAGGCACAAAATGAGCTCAAACTAGCTACAGGAATAAAGAGAAACAAGAAGACTTTTTATCAATACATTAGAAGCAAGAGGAAGACCAAAGATAGGGTAGGCCCACTGCTCAGTGAAGAGGGAGAAACAGTAACAGGAAACTTGGAAATGGCAGAGATGCTTAATGACTTCTTTGTTTCGGTCTTCACCGAGAAGTCTGAAGGAATGCCTAACATAGTGAATGCTAATGGGAAGGGGGTAGGTTTAGCAGATAAAATAAAAAAGAACAAGTTAAAAATCACTTAGAAAAGTTAGATACCTGCAAGTCACTAAGAATACTCAAGGAGCTAATAGAGCAGGAATCTGAGCCTCTAGCTATTATCTTTGGAAAATCATGGGAGACGGGAGAGATTCCAGAAGACTGGAAAAGGGCAAATATAGTGCCCATCTATAAAAAGGGAAATAAAAACAACCCAGGAAACTACAAACCAGTTAGTTTAACTTCTGTGCCAGGGAAGATAATGGAGCAAGTAATTAAGGAAATCATCTGCAAACACTTCAAAGGTGGTAAGGTGATAGAGAATAGCCAGCATGGATTTGTAAAGAACAAATCGTGTCAAACCAATCTGATAGCTTTTTTTGATACGATAACGAGTCTTGTGGATAAGGGAGAAGCTGTGGATGTGGTATACCTGGACTTTAGTAAGGCATTTGATACGGTCTCGCATGATATTCTTATCAATAAACTAGGCAAATACAATTTAGATGGGACTACTATAAGGTGGGTGCATAACTGGCTGGATAACCATACTCAGAGAGTTGTTATTAATGGTTCCCAATCCTGCTGGAAAGGCATAACAAGTGGGGTTCCACAGGGGTCTGTTTTGGGACCGGCTCTGTTCAATATCTTCATTAACGACTTGGATATTGGCATAGAAAGTATGCTTATTAAGTTTGCGGATGATACCAAACTGGGAGGGATTGCAACTGCTTTGGAGGACAGGGTCATAATTCAGTGTGATGCTGTTGCAAAAAAAGCAAACATGATTCTGGGATGTATTAACAGGTGTGTTGTGAGCAAGACATGAGAAGTCATTCTTCCGCTCTACTCTGCTCTGGTTAGGCCTCAGCTGGAGTATTGTGTCCAGTTCTGGGCGCCGCATTTCAAGAAAGATGTGGAGAAATTGGAGAGGGTCCAGAGAAGTGCAACAAGAATGATTAAAGGTCTTGAGAATATGACCTATGAAGGAAGGCTGAAAGAATTGGGTTTGTTTAGTTTGGAAAAGAGAAGACTGAGAGGGGACATGATAGCAGTTTTCAGGTATCTAAAAGGGTGTCATAAGGAGGAGGGAGAAAACTTGTTCACCTTAGCCTCTAAGATAGATAGAACAAGAAGCAATGGGCTTAAACTGCAGCAAGAAAGGTCTAGGTTGGACATTAGGAAAAAGTTCCTAACTGTCAGGGTGGTTAAACACTGGAATAAATTGCCTAGGGAGGTTGTGGAATCTCCATCTCTAGAGATATTTAAGAGTAGGTTAGATAAATGTCTATCAGGGATGGTCTAGACAGTATTTGGTCCTGCCATGCGGGCAGGGGACTGGACTCGATGACCTCTCGAGGTCCGTTCCAGTCCTAGAATCTATGAATCTATAAGTAAAGATTGGTATTTGCTGAGTTTGAATTTTGAATTTGGGATGAAAGTGCAGACTGCTTC